ATCTTCACCACGGCTAACACAGATACTGGCCACAGTATTTGCTTTTTATTTCTGACTCCCTTTGCAGCGAACGAGACCCCTGCCATCATGGTGTGCCATAGCCCCACTGAATTCAGCAGGGTTACGCCGGTTTATAGCAGATGAGGTCATTTGCTTCATCCTGTGATTTCACTATCTGTAAAATGGGAATAATAACATTTACTTTATAAAGCACATCAAGATCCTTGCACAGAGAAGTGCTGTATAAAGGCAAAATATGGTTAATATTATTTTCATACAAGCACAGGAGTTTCCTGTAAATGCTTGGCTTTCAGTTGGGAATACATTTATCTGGCAGCCTTTCAGTGCACAAAGGAAAGTGCAATAGCCTGAAGACAAGAATGAAGACAACCCAACCTCTTCTGTTTGTTGGAGGGTTTTTTTCTTTTTTTTTATGTAATTCTCCATTGCTGGAAAAAAATAGGTGCCAGGACCCTGAAGAGTCTTTTCATGTCACAGATTTTGTGATAACCTTGCTGTTGTTCTGTGAAAGCTAGGGTCATTTAAAGGTTTTAAAATAAATTTTTATTTCTCAAAAGTTAGAAAATTAAAGCACATTGAACCAGTGTGCTTTAATTGATCTCGCACTCCGTGAAAACATAGCTTTTGTGGCAGCTTGCAAGTGAGAATGTCAGCTTCAAGCACTTAAAACCAAGCATGGTGATTACTGCCATAACCGGGCTCATTAACTTCGGCAGAATTACTTGTGATAATATACACTCCTAGCCCATAGGAAGATTTTTGCCACGTATAGCATTGAATTTAGCATGTAATAAGGAAATATAGTTTGGCTGGTGGAACTTTAAGGGAAAGGTTAGACTTTTTTGCTTGTAAGTATCTCATTTTGCTATTCACACCACTGGTCTTTGATCAAATTAACATTTTACTGTAAGTAGAAGAGCACTCAGTTCATGCTATTCATTATCTTGTCAGGAAACAATGAGAATAATTTAAACTGGATATATTGTGTAAGGCTTCTCTTCTCTTTTTTTTTTTTTTTTTTAATTGGAAAGCGCACGGCAGCATTACAATCATGACCTACTGGCTCCACTGTGAAGAGCACAATATTTACATGCTATTTAAGGAGAAGGAAAGTATTTTGAAATATTTTGTTACCAGGGAGGTAGCTCCATGCTAGAAAAACAGCAGTATGGAAATTCGGAGGAACTGTATGGCTGAGCTATTCAGAAAATCTTATTTCTAGGCAATGCTGGATTTGCATGATCTCCATCAAGGCCAGTAGGGTGACTGTCGCTGGTTAGCGTGTTTTTTCTAGGCTGCACGTAGTAGATATGGAAGTAAGAAGCCAAGAGTTTTAGCACTGCCTGATGAAAAGCAACTGCACTATGGCATACATATTTCTTAGCCGATGGGAGAGTTTCACACAAAGAGAAGGTTGTGTGAACTTTCCAGTGGCTCCGAGTTGTGCAAGATTGCTAGGTTTTAGCCATTTTCCATACTGGGCATCTGTCTCTGGCTGCATTCTCTTTTTTTTATTTCAGGAAAAATTGTTGAACCATTTCTAAGAAAAAGATTAGAAAAAAAAAATCCATTTTTCCCCACATGTTACGAGTTGTTCTTGCTGTTTTGGTGAGGAGCCTGCTGTGCCCATATTTAAGAGAAGGGGCTTGGCACTTGATGAGGGAGGGTTTGCCTTTTTCTCAGGGTTCTATCTTGTGTTGCTTCAAGTAGCAAAAGAAAAAAAACAGCCCCAAGTTGGGCCAGCCTATAAGCGGCTGAAAAAACCCCAAGTTCACACAAACTCAACAGAATCTGGTTTGAATTTGTTGGCTTTGATGTCCGTGCCTGTCCCAAGCACGCTGCAGTCTATCATTGCGCCGGCTGGGTGAACATTAACCAGCCAGGTTTTTCTTCTCTTGGTTGTAATGTAAGGTTCAGTGCCACTTTGACGGGAGAGCTGGGAGGGGAGATGCTCCTCCAGGCTGCCCCCACCACTGCGGGGAGACGGGCAATGTCAGCGTGAGAGCACGGAGAGCGGGGAGTGGAGAAGGGGGTTTGTGGTGGGGAGAGAGGGAGCAGAAGGACTGGGACGGGGCTGCTCCAAGGACATTGGGAGAAGAAGCAACAAGGAAAAGAGGAAGGAGGAAATCGTGGGGGTAAGAAAAATTGTGGAAGTTTGTGTGTATTCGTTAGGTCGTGCGAGATACGAGCTTGCTTTTGCCTGCTTGAAGTTAAAGGCACTGTGAAGCTCAAAGAAGACAGAAATGGTGCTTCCAGCGGCCAAAATTAATTACGAAGGGGACAAAGTGACAAGCAGAGAAGGGCAGGAGTCAGAGAGGCAAAACCAGAGATTTTTGCAGGGGAGCAGAACCGCAGCTGCTGTATGGGGTCTTGGGTGCAGGCCAAGCTGCCAACTTTCTCAGGTGAGAAGCGGCCAAACGCAGCCCGTGCCACACGGTGAGGCTGTGGTTGACACCACCACGCCGAGCACCCAAATGGAACTATGCTGGGGGCTTGGGGAGCCCAGATAGCTAAAAATGGGGATTGTGCCAGTGCATTCATTAACGCTTCTGAAGCACTTGGATCCTTTGATGGCGGAAACCAGAGCACAGCCCATGAGGAAGCGATTAATCCTATCTGCAGAGGAGGGTGGGATTAGTTTGCTGTAAATAAACTACAGAGGTCACACGCGGAACAAGGAGGACAAAGCAAAATACTCATTCACAGAGCAATATTCATCCCGAGTGTTGAATGAAGTAGGGGGGTCTCGTTGGAAAAAAGCAACAGCGTGTTAGTGTGCGGTTCCAGCCTGCCTCCCGAAGCCCTGGCACATACCTGCAGCCTGGGGGTTGGCCTTTCAAAACTTTTAAGTGCTCAATTTTGAAACTACCATTCTTTTAACAGGCTTCTGTGTGTAATTTATAATTTATATTGCAACAGCACCCAAAATTGCTTTCCAGACACTGAACACATCTATAATTCTGGCTCTAAAAAGCTTCCATTCTGGGGGGAAAAAAAAAAAAGAATAATTGACCAGTATTTCCCAAACAGAATTGCCCAAAGTTTCTGTTGATGTATTTTTAACAATGTAGCATGAAATCTTGTCTGGTATTATTCACAGGGTTACAACAGGTGTTCTGAATTGGCTGGGGAGGCTACGCAGAAAGGGCAGCTGACAGCTTACTGTATATGCAGATGTAACATCTATTAGAAATATCCTCTGTGGGTTGCTTGCATGCAAGCTGAATAGATTCTCAAAACAATGCTGCTGTGAATGGAAGCCATCAGCAGAATTGCTTAAGGCTGCAAAACCCATTACTTATACAGCAGTAGATGCAAGAGCGAGCGCCACAGCGTAGTAACTTGTCCTGCTTTGCTGGAGTTGTTTAGCAGTTATTAGATCAATGTATGTACATCCACATCTAATAAAGTGCGAGAAGATAATTTATCTCAATCTGTATTGTTAGCTCAGGTTTTGGTCCTAATATTATCCAGCAGTATAAGCAGCGTAAACTTTCTTTTTTTGTGCCTTTTTAATGCTGCTGCCATTTTTTCATGCACAAAATGGGTTGTGTCCCATGCTCTGATTATTAGTGCCATGTTACTGTACGTTTTACAATTACACTTTAATTACAGCTGTAGAACCTATGCAAAATCATTTAATATAATGTTATGAGCAAATAGCACAGATGATGCATTTAGTATTTGATTGCCGTTCGTTTACTGATTGATTAAACATGCAGACAGAGTCTCTGCTTTGACTGGTAAGTCAAAGACCATGCACGCACACAGGGTATAGGTTCTATATTCGCTCTTTCAGACGACTTAGGTTTTCAAACGGACTAGCTGAAAAACTAGAGAGTCTGGCACACAGAAATATGGCAGTTTTGGTGGCTTGAAAATGAATTTATCATTCAGTAAAGGGAGGGACCCATCAGTGTAAAAGTTGGTCAAGAAAAGTTTTGACCGTGATTGGTGGCAGTTCATGGGTTTGGAAGAGTCAGTGATACATCTTGGAAGTGCAGATAGAAAATTATTTTAGCTATATTCTGCTGAAAGTGCAGCACGATTTGCATGGAGAAGCCCAGGTGAAAAACAGTCATTACTCAAGGAGGAGAGCGATGTGGTTTTGTAAAAATAAAACAAATTTTTGCAAAAAAGAGAGAAGAAAGTCTGACCAAGAGGAGCATATACTGTAAAAGCAACCAGGGTTTGTTCCACTTTCTTAACAGAAGCTTATACACAGTTATGAAAAGGACTTTGCTGCTATTTATTGCCTGAAGTTACTGATCCATCTGTCTCTACCAGACTCTTGCACAGACAGCCTTTCCTCCTAATTCTGCCTTTCTCCCTTCTATTATTATTCAATATTTGTATGGGAATTTTGTCTGGTAGCCAAGTCACAGGCTTATCAGATATTGCGTAAATCCTCAGCAGTTGGTAACTGATCTGCGCAAAATTGTCAGTTTAGGGTTAAATATTGTTGAATAAATAGACCTGCTGAAAGAACAGAATCTGGCGATTCATGTTTTGGGAAATAATTACTGAAGAAAGACAGCCCACAACATTGTATGTGTGTTAGAGAGAATGGTCAGAATATCTTTTAATTCAGCATTTACCCGTGAGAATTATTCCCATGAGGAACCTTGCAATAAAATCTGCTTGGTCTATGAGAATAGAAAGAAATTGAATAAAAAGACTCCATTTCCACTTGTATTTATTCAGTCTGGGAAATTCAGTGGGCCGCAGCATTAGTATCAGCAGGGGATTCCTTGCTCCTAGCGTTAAATTACTGTCATAATCGCTCAATTATTTCTTCCTTGTACTGTTTAAAATAAAAATCCATCACATTCTATGTTTTTTTCTAACATTTATTAGGTTGAGTGTTTAGGAAAATCAATTATATTCAGTCAGGCATGAATTGATGAATGTTCTTGTAATAATTGTCAGTTGTTAAACTGAATGTACTTTCTCTTTTCACCCCTTTTCATTTCCTTCAGAGGGCAGAGGTGGCTCAGAGAGAGGCAGAGACCTTAAGGGAGCAGCTCTCGTCAGCTAACAAATCTCTCCAACTCGCTACGCAGATCCAGAAGGCACCTGATGTGGTGAGAGAAAATATTTACTGACTCTTACAGGTTTCTGACATTCCTGCAGTACAGCTCTTTCAATTTATGCTCGCAGCTATAAAAATACCTGTTCGGAGTAATATTTTAACTGCAGTGGAATTGTGTTCCTTTGGGATTGAGGTTTGGTTAAACTTCTAAGGAGGTTGGTGGCTGCAGAAGACCATGGGAAGGACAAAGGTCTCTCTGCTCCATGGTGACCAGTACAGTGATCCATAGCTTTCCATGGCTGCCGGTTCAGGCGGTTAGCGGCAACTCTCAGAAATTATTTCACGTTGTTAAGAGCGTTAGCAGAGGAAAAAGAAAGGCAGAATGCAGTATAACAAAGAGTGCCTTGGTGGGCCTTCAGAACCTGCCTGCCTGGAGGGCACAGCAGGGACATGGAGCTTCAGACCGAGGGGACCAACTTTGTTCAGAGTTGGCTGAATTAGCAGGGACCCTACTGCCTGCCCATTTCTGGGTCTTGTTATTCTTAGTGTATGGGCTGGCAGAGGAACTAGAAATAAATTCGATATCATTCCAGTTTTCACTGAATATGTCTAAACTGGGGATTACACCTATAAATCCAATAAAAGAAGCTTAGAAAATTGAGAAGATACCCTGTACTCTGAAAGGTTTGGCTGTTTGTTGCCTTTTCTGTGTGTTTCTAAATAAAGCAAACACCGCTGTTTGGGGAGGTTGGTAGCGCTGACTCTGCCGATGGGACCTTGCGGGCACAGAGTGCTATTACAGGACTCCAGCTGGTCCTGGGTTAACAGGTATCACAGATGAGCAGACAGATTATTTTGATTTTTGTTTGCCAAAGGAGAAATAGGAGTATTTAAATGTAAATATGCAATTAAGTGAAATTTAGTCTACTTCTAAGCAGCGGATTTAATGAACAAAAGAAATCATTCTCCTTATATTGCTTGTTTCTTGCAAGCCATATACGTGCTTGACACTGATATCAGACAAACACGCGGTTGCCTTTAAAATACATTTGCAGAGAATGAGTAACAAACCGTAAGTCCCCCAGCTCTGTTTTTTCTGTATTTTCTCAGAGAAGTCAAAAGATAGACAAGCGGTTGTCTATTAATATGACCCAGTATTTTCTCAGAGAAGTCAAAAGATAGACAAGCAGGCTGCAAAACAAAAAATAAAAAAATTAAAAAGCCTGAATATCACTTGTAACTCTGAATTACCTGCCTCTTCCTATCTCATGTCCTAGTCTTATCATTATTTTAACATTAGGTCTTTCTTGTATTTAATAGTACTTCTGCACTTCATTTATATTTAATATGACAACTACTGCAGGATGAAAATGATCATTATCTATCTTATTTCAGACTCTACGTTCTAGTCTCAATAGGCACAAGCAGCAGATGATTATACAACTTGTGATGTTTCATGCAAGCAAATTAGAGGTTTTTTCAAGTTAAAAGTGTAATTCAGTGTAATAGGAGAGCGTTGTTAACTGCTGTTCGTACATGTAGCTTTCTGTGAGATACAATGGGATGTAGTCACTGAGAATCAACCTAAGTGTTTAGAAGACAGGGAAAAGGTATTTTGTTGTGCCTGTATTTTCCAGAAAAGAGGGTATGGAGTGTATTTCAAACTGCGGCAGTTTCGTCTTGAATTGTAAGGAAAGTGCTTGGGTGACAGCATCGGTGGGTTGAATTTTCAGCTCTTTCGCCATAGGATCTTTGGTATAATGCTTACAATCATTGTCTCTTTCTTGGTAAATGGATTCTTTCCTACTTCACTGGTGTTTTCTGAGGAACAGCCATTAACCTTTGTTAGACGCGTTTCAGGCTTTTTAATGGAACTTGCGTTCATTGTTGGGCTGCCTTGTGCTCCCCAGATCTGCACAAGGATTTCCTTATGTTCTTCATGGAAGAGAGGTTCAGAGCTCTGATGCATTATAGCTGTTGATCTCTTAACACAAAAGGAGACAAAAGAGATGGTACAATTAGTCTGTATTATCTTTCTGAATAGATCTACCTTCTTCTTAACTTCTGTCCTCTCTTATTTCATGTCCTACTGGAAAGTCGGTCTAGTGAGGAAGTTTCAGACTTGAGGACAGATTTTGCAGCTGTGGGAAACTGGAAGAAGAAAGATCCTGATTTGGGAAAGGGAATTTCTGAAAGTGGAGACCAAAGGGAGAATGGCCTTGTCTTACAGCTGTCAGATCTATCTTCATCCCCATGGAGGAGAGGCTTTAGTTGCTAGCAATAATGTTAACAGTGAGCAATTTTCATGCAAGGAGCAAGTTCATTGGAAGTAGCAGTTTGGGGCAATTTTTGACAATTTTGCCTGAAATGTGCAGCATGCGTATGAACAGCCAAAGGCACATGACTCTGCCATTCCTGATTAAGAAATTCTGCTCCATTACTTCAGAATATTTGATATGATCAGTATTTTGTAAGCACAGATTTTCATAGTTGTCAAAGCATTTGGACTATTAATAATAAATAGATCTGAATAGAATCGTTTGACTTTCATGGCTGCATCTTTCCAGTGCACTTAAGAAATGGGGAAATTTATTCACTCCATTATCCCTATTTTACAAAAGAGCTGTCCTGAGGAGTAGAAAGGTTCATCTTCCAGATTCATGCAGTCAATTATGGAAGTCCCAGATTTAGAAATTGTTTCTGTCTCTCATGCCACCCGATGCCATGCTTGGTCCTTACCTAACTGCCCTGAATTCAAGCTTGTTGCCTTTTTTTATTCATGTGGTCTATTACTTCTTTAGGAGCAGGCCATCGAGGTGCTAACACGGTCCAGCTTGGAAGTAGAACTGGCTGCGAAGGAGCGGGAAATTGCTCAGCTCGTAGAAGATGTCCAGAGACTCCAGGGCAGCCTCACCAAGCTGCGGGAGAACTCCAGCAGCCAAATCTCACAGCTGGAGCAGCAGCTGACCGCCAAGAACAGCACACTTAAAGTAAGGCTCAGTTCTGTGCTCAGCAGCTTTCCAAGGATATAACTGCTGTACCAGTATTGGGTTTTACTGATGTAAGTTTTCTGTGGTTCTGAGAGGCACTATACAAGCCATTGACTTCTTCAGGATGCTGTTGAATTCTAGTTTCTGTGATATTTTATTCTAAGTGATTGCCATTTTGCTGAAATTTAATTTACCTAGATCTCATTGTTTTGAAATTTGTTTTTGCAGAACAGGCCTACCTTTAGAATTAAAACCACTTACAGCAGCCAACGTACATTTACCATGGATATGTAGTGAAATAGCTGAACTGAAAAGGCACAGAAAATCCTTCTTAGGTTTTAAAACTTTTGATTCCCATCCCAGTGATTGGTATTGCAGATTTGCCAGGAATGTTTATTGTGCTGTGGTCTGTCTTTGAATTTACCTGCTACCCCCTCCAGTTCTCTCCACTGGAAAAGGGAAATGTATAATTTAAAGCATAAAAATAAGTAAAACCAAGACACAGAGAGAAGGCTTCTTAGCCTTAATAACCATTTATTTTTTTTAATTAACTGTATATTTGCTGCACAGCAATTCCCGTTTATAATTAGCGGGCCAGTCCTACACTCATTTGGATACCAGTAGCACTGCACTAAAACCAGCAGAAACGTCTAACATTTTTGTGAGTGACCCTTTTACCTTTTGCTTCAGCAGCTTTACGTTCTCTGTGCGCTAGCCCACACAGTTTTGATCTATCAGTAAGCAGGAGAAATGTTTCCTGACATGTGCTATGAATCAGTTCCCTCTAACTCCTGTCTCTTTCATTGTTCTACCATCTATGAGCTCCAAAGTGTAAACAAGGTAAATTTATCTATTCCATTAAAGACTTCGTAGTTTTGCAGGTTTTATAGTCTGAGAGTTTTTTGAAAGCAGGAGGCTGATAGTACCCACTTAGCTCTGACTGTGGCGTGGGTAGCTTTCCTCTATCAGAGTGATTTAAGGTTCAATTGAAACTCTTACAAATTGTTCTAATTCTGACATTTTTTAGCGGTTACTGGGTTTGCTCTGGTGTAGTGTAATTTATGTGGAGAAACGTCTGTTAGGGATGAAAGCCGAAGCATTGCATTCAGTATGCTTTCTACATGTTTTAAGACAGCCTTGCAGAATTTTTATGAAAATTCAGCAAAGTAAAGGAAACCTATTAGGTTCCTATATTGACAATACCAGTCTCTGCCCATCTGTCACCATGTGGGCACCACTCTTAACGAGGGAGGAAGGAGCTGGCCTGGTTTTGAGGGATGCATTTTGCTGGCTACACCCGTGTTATGTTTTTTTTTTTTTAATTATTTTTTCATAAAGCCTGATAGAAAATATCTTGAGTCCTTGCACTTGACAGATTTTCTTGGAATAAAGCATGTTCCTGGTGAGGTCAGTATTACTTTAGCCATTAACTTCAAAGGGAATAGGATCATAGAAATGACAGAGCAAGTCTTTGATTTTCATTTCAGTAATCTCCTTCCATTTTCTCATAGGCTTGCCCCGCTAATGCTCTGTGTTTAGGTTCCTGTTGATAGTGTCTGATGCAGTGGCAGTGATAAAGTTTTAGTCATTTCAACCCTCTTTAACCTTGATTGTTACACTGCAAAAATATTTCAAAATACCTACTTTTACCCCAAAGTGCTTGGAAAACCTGTGTCTGGGATCTGTTGTACAAAGAACTAAATCTCAGTGATGATGTGTTGATCCCCTGTTTGATTATAGAGGAATTGCTTCTAAAATAACTGAGATTGTAATGGTTGCCTCCACAAAAAATGAATCACGGTTTCACAAATTAAAGCAATGTTCTCAGACCATATCTTGGGGGAATTCTTTAATACTCTATGACTTAATGAAACAATACAGAAATACTTTCAAAATTATTGCTTCTTTATCTTCATCTGATCTAATAATCAAAGCATGTCCGCTAGTAACAAGACTTTTCTAACCATAATTATATTAACCCTTTGTTGGTGGGAGTTAGAGCTTCCCTGCTGCCCACTTAGAATACAACAGTGCTAGGTAGCAAAGAGATACAGCAAATAACCTGGGTTGATGAAATATGGGCTTTTTAATTTGTCACTCTAAACTAAACTGTGACATTAGTCTAATGGGGTTTTTTAAATGTTTTAAGCCCCTTAATGCAGCCCACGCTATTTACCTAAGACACTTTAGTTAATAATACCATAATGTTGGGGTTTTTTCAAATAACGTGAACCGATCTATGCATGCTGTAACATGGGTTTGTTCATACAACAAATGCAAAATGACTCTTTAACATGGACTATTTGCAAATTTAGTGTGCAGAAATGCCACCAGTCCATTCCT